TGGCGGAGCGGGCGGGGGCTGCCCCCGCTGCCTCCGTCACTGCCCCTGCCGGTCCCCCCGACCCAGGTGCCCGTGTGTGGCCGTGGGGCTGCTTAAGGCGCTCCCGGGACCAGGAGGTCCCGAGATACTCGTCCTCCGCCGGTGGAGGCACGGGGCTGTCCCGTCCCCAAAGAGGTCTGTGGTGGAACCTGGGCAGCGGGGCGCCTTGCGGCCTTGGGTACCGCGGCCAGGCAGGGACGCGCCCTGCGACCCTGCTGTGGCCTTCAGCCGCTTTCCGTAGCGAAAGCAGAAGTGGTTTGTTCGCTCTCCTGCTAAACATCCGTTGCTGTCTCCGGAACACGCTTTCGTACCGTGGGATTCGATTCGGGAGCCTTGCTCACCCGCTCCCGTGAAGCGGGATCTGACTTTTGCCAGAGCAGAAACTATTCAAGAGTCTGCGAAACTGTGCGAGATCCTAGCTATCTTATCAGCCTTCAAGAGCAGGAGTAACTTCACTGGCTAACCCTCTTATTTTACTAACTGAAATTCAATTCAAATGTACATCTAGATCTTCTGGGACACTTTGCAAATACTGAGTAATCCTTGAAGTACGGGCCCTTCTTCATTCAAAGGGCAGATTCTGCAGTGTTAGTCTCCTGTTCTACAGCATGTTTTGCAGTTCAAAGTGAAATCCAGTTGTGCTTTAAGCAATTTGACTTGTAATACTGTGTGAGAAACGTACGTTCCTGAGTGTATTTCAGTACTTGATGGAAAGAAAACTACCCTGTTAGTGCTGTAACTCTTGTCTGTTACCTGCTTCTATGTTTCATGTCCAGTGGTTAATCTCATTACAGGCATTACCTTATGGCATGTGTGTGTTAATATGTGCAAATATGCCTGTAAAATGGTAACAATACACCTTTGTCTTTGTTCCTCAAAATGTAATGGGGAAAAAACTTACTTGACCCAAGGCAGAGCATTAACATGCTTCTTTAGATTCTGTCACACGTATGAGAAATAAAACAGCTTTGGGCTCCTTGACAAATGTAGCAGAAAGCCTTGAAAATTAAGTCCTTTAAGGAGGACTGACTCTTTTGGCTTGCGTTACAATTGCATTTATCCGGCTTCTGGAACTCAAGTGTCGTATGAAATCATCAATGCAAAAAGTGCTTCTTGCAGATTTAGTTCAGCCTGCATGTGTGTGTAGGATGATAGTGTACTTCAGTGTGTTCTCCTTATGTGGTACAGCAACACCTCTCCCCTTTTAAAGGTTCATAAAGGGAGAGCTCTTAGTATTTTTCTCTGTGGGAATGTGGGATGGGTAATAATTAAGCCTAAGTTAGCCTAAAGGATAGTTGTTTCCTGCAGTGGAAAAGCCCTATGATCTGTGTGTTTACTGAGCAAGGGGCACTTCACATGGGCATCAGGCATGGCACTAGAGAGAATGAACTCTGAGTTTAGTGGAATTACTTGTGAGAATTGAGGTTACTGAAATAAGTACTTCAATCTTCCATGAGTTTTTAAGACTTGGACAGCAATGATGATTCAGATTTCAAGCTTCACTGCCTAATGCTAACCAATCTAATCTGATTAAAAATATTGGTGATTGATTCGTCATCTGGTTTAGTCATCCTCAACTAGAGTTTTAGTGACTTGTTGGCTGGTGTTTCGTTGTCCTGGCTCAACAGATAAGCCAAAGAGTGTTTATTTCTTCTAGAAAAATAAATTAATCCACCAGTTCATAACTCTTTAGTAATTCTGCAGTGAACTGGTCTACCTCAAAGCCTGTCTCTTGCATATGCCCTACTTGTCTTGCCTAGAGGAAACAAAATAATTAGGAAACAAAGTTTTGGATTCCCGAATGTTTACAATAAAGTGTAACTCCTGTATGCAATAATGTGAACATACTAATCCTCTTGATCAGTAGGGCTGATTACAAAAGGGTTGTTGATTTTTTTTAATTGGAGTGAGTAGATGAAGTGAGTATAAGGATGCTGTAACTCAGATATGCTACTTTCACAGGCTGAGATTTGGGACCTGAAAAAATGGCATTGGCAGCAATTGATCCACAGCAGGTATGTCTGAGTTAGTCCCATAGTTGTTTTGTTTTGTTTTTCAGGTCTAGTTCCAAAAAATGAGTCAACTAACCTCTTTCTCTTTTAAACAGAACATTGTGTCAAGGGTTGTCAACCTTCCCTTGGTGAGCTCCACCTATGATATGGTGTCCACAGCTTACATCACCACAAAGGATAATCATCCTTATCTGAAGTCAGTATGTGAGATAGCAGAGAAAGGAGTGAAGACAATTACTTCGGTAGCCATGACAAGTGCTATGCCTATCATCCAGAAACTGGAACCACAAAGTAAGGCAAAGATGGAGCTGTTAACTTTAATTCAGCTGACTGCTTTATTTGTCCAGATGCACCTACAATTTCGCATGGTTGTGTTAGTCTAGAGTGCTGTTCGAGGTAACTGACTTAACCTGTTGCCTGGCTTGTTGAGCAAGTGTTTACAGATGGGTATGGTTTAACAACAACAAAAAAAGATAATCCAGAGCCAAAGCAGTTTCCAGCTTTTGTAATACTAAACTGACGTGACTCCTCTTGATGTGTGAGATGGTTACCTAGTCTCTTGCTTAACACATTCCTCATCTTTTACGTGGTTTCAGACCATACCTTGGTGCTTTTTTCTCATCAAGAACAGCTTGTGGTTAAATATGGCAACTGTGTCACAAAGTTGTAACTAGGAGCCTGGCTTCACTGGATGGCAGAAGGCTGGGTTCTTCAGCTTGTTTTACCTGTTGCTTGTAAAGTATCAAATAGTTTTTCTCTGCCTGCAGGTGAGCCTTTTTTTTCTGGCACTGTGAACCTGCATTATTCTTGGGCTTTGCTGCCTCAAATCTCACTGAAGAGGGAAGGAAACTGCTTTAAGAGTGTTGTGGCACAAGCTCTGTTTCAAGAGGAATTCTCAATTGGAGTTATTTATTCTAAAGAAAAAATGAAAAAATAAAGCCAATTATTGTAATTTCTTTTGTAGTTGTAGTTGCCAACAACTATGCGTGTATAGGTCTAGACAAAATTGAAGAGAGACTGCCTATACTGAATCAACCCACTGACAAGGTAAGTTCTTTATACATACATATTCTAAGCAGAACTATACACCAAACACAGGGAGACAGATTTCAGTAAGTGTTGTCTGAAGCACATCTTAAAAGCAATGAGGGAGTTGAAAGTGTTTCTGTAGAATTGTTTGTTGCCTTTGGGAGACCATTAAGACTCTTTTCTTTAAAAAAAAAAATTAAGTTGCTTACCCTTTGACACATCTGTTTACAGCTTCTCTTCACTGGTGGACATCTTTTTTAAAATTTGAGTCCTTGTCTCTTTCTTGCTCAGTATGAAGCAAATAGAGTCTGAATTATGTTAACTGAAGTGTTTTGAGCTGAAAGTTGTGTGGCACTCACGTTTTAGTTTGTCTTTTACATATGTTTTCAGGGCAGAATTTCTCCTAGATAGCCAATACTCTTACAAGGTTTAGCATAAATTTACATTTTCTGGATTATGCTGCTCTCTCTGGAAAATACTTCTAGTGAATCAGTCTGTTTTCTATGGCAGGTTGTCGCCAATGCCAAGGATGTAGTTGTTGGAGCCAGAGAAGCTGTAACAACCACTGTGACTGGTGCCAAGGAAACTGTTGCTCACACAATCACTGGAGTTGTGGGCAAGACTAAAGAAGCAATGCAAGACAGCGTAGAAATGACCAAGTCAGTTGTCAATGGCAGCATTAACACTGTCCTGGGAAGTCGTGTGGTGCAAATGGTGAGCAGTGGAGTGGACAGTGCTCTCACTAAATCAGAGACCCTTGTAGATCAGTATCTCCCACTTACAGAAGCAGAACTAGGTAAGACCAGTTCAAGGTTTAATTTTGTTGGAATGCTTGTACTGGAGAGTAGAATCATCCTTTTATTACTTATAGTGGGGAGGGGGCATGTGTTTCCCAAACTGCCTTTTTGCTTTGCTAGTTGTAATAGCATGTTCACAGGGAAGCAGAGTGAAAGTAAGGATTTCCATGTATGGTGGTATATTAGCCCACGCTGGTGCTAAAGGACTACTAAATGAGTCCAGTATTCAGCTGTTACGAAGTAAATAAAATTTCCTCACACCTCTAAAGTTTTCTTACAGTGGTCAATTTGCTTCCTTTCTCCATATCTAGAGAAAGAAGCTGCAAAAGTTGAAGGTTTTGAAGCTGGAGTTCAAAAGCCAAGCTACTACATTAGACTAGGATCCCTGTCTTCAAAGGTTCGCACACGTGCCTACCAACAAGCCTTAAACAAAGTTAGAGATGCTAAACAGAAAAGCCAGGACACAATCTCTCAGCTCCACCGCACTGTTAGTCTGGTAAGTTTAAGCTTTCACTTAAGGTATAAAAAGGCATAGTTTTAGAGTGCAGAAAACAGAGTTATAGAAAGACTGGAATGGCTCGCTCAGACTAAATGCATTTTCTAAATATAAAGCTTTTCCTACTTGGAGATTTTCACCACCATTCAGGAGAGGTCCCAAATCGTGCTGAGCTGTGAACTAACTAGCAATTGCTTGTAATTTTAAGCATTGCAGAAATAGAAGTGAAATGTTTAAAATTATATTCCTGTTCTACAGTGCTGAGTTTGACACTGTCTTCCTTCAGTGAAGGGAGTGTCTTGCAATTTAGAAACACTTCAGTCATTTAAGTTGTTTTTGTTAATAAAATGTCACATTCTGTATGGGCTTGCTCTTCTTGCTGTGGGTATCTCTGAGCGTTTCTGGGTACTTTAGTAGTCTTATCCTGACCATGTACCTTTATGTACAGCAAAAACTGTGCATGAAGAGTCATGGCCTTCTATGCACTTTTAAATTCTTGTGGGGGAGGGGGAAATAGTTGAGGCAGAGAGACACACTACTTAATATCTCAAAAGTGCTTCCAGTTTTCTGTGCTTTGAAGAGAAGCAATACACTCTTATGTTCCCCAAAGTTGCTTTTTTATACTGAACTTTTATTTTAAAAAGAGCTTACTGAGTGGGTAAGATAGGGTAGCCCTAATGGAACTGTTTGGACTCTGTGCTTTACTTCCTTATTTGACTGTATTTCAGATCGAGTATGCCAGAAAGAACATGAATAGTGCCAATCAGAAACTTCTTGATGCTCAGGAAAAGCTTTATCAATCCTGGGCAGACTGGAAGAAAAATACAGGCCAAAATGATGGTGGGGAATCGCATAGCACTGAGGTAAATAGATGTAGATGGAACCCAGAGATAAACAGATTGCGTACTGTCAAGCTAATGGCAACGTAACAGTCCCCGAAGTGCGCAGCATCTTAGCATGAAAACTTGCATGCAAATGTGGAACCTGAATGCTGAAGCTCAGGGCAGCTGACTAGTAACTACTATGAAAAGTAGGAAATGCCCACACTCTTAAGTGAGCCTGCTTCTGCAAACACTTGGGTTCCTTCTTCTTTCAAGAGAATGCGCATCCTGTTTAGCATGTGAGCGTGCGTTGAGATGTCCATATTTAGATCAGCTAGGACTCAGTTATGTGATATAGCCAGACTGGAAATAACAGTTTGTGAGCATAAGTCAGACACACACTCAGTCTTATATGTAGTTTTAAACAGTATTTTATTGACTAGAATATACTTATTCTGTCTTGTTACCAGAGTTGAAACGAGCTTGCTTATCTGTCACTAGGTAGAAACTACCAGTGTTTGTTTTGTGAAGTGCTTGAGCATTGAAGAAGTATCAAGTACTTTCAAGTCTCTGCCTCTTCAGACTCAATACCTGTTTTACTATCTGCTATAGCCTTATTTTACTTACATCCCCTTTACTTTGCTTCTTTATGCATGTTGAACAACATTAAGCTGCTACAGTCATAAAAAGGTACTAAAGTGCTGCCATGCTTTTTTTCCCCCCCCCCCCACTCCCAGCACATTGAGTCAAGAACTCTGGCTATTGCACGGAGCCTCACTCAGCAGCTTCAGACCACCTGCCTCACACTGGTCTCAAGCCTACAGGGCCTGCCACAGAATGTGCAGGATCAGGTTTACAGCATTGGGTCAATGGCAGCTGATGCCTACCAGAGCTTTCGGTCAGCATCCTCCTTCCAAGAATTATCAGACAGCTTTCTCACCACTAGCAAAGGACAGCTGAAGAAAATGAAGGAGTCTTTGGATGATGTGATGGATTATCTTGTTAACAACACGCCGCTCAACTGGCTGGTAGGTCCCTTTTACCCCCAACTGCCTGGCATTCAGCACGCTGAGAGCAAAGGTGAAGGGGAGAAAAATTCCAGCCAGAAAGACAAACAGCCTGAACGCACTATATTCAATAAACTGCATAGCATGCATGTACTCCACTGACTGACCAAACAGGTGGCCTTAGCAAGTGTAGCTGTCAAAAAAAAAAAAGCGCCTTGCAGAAAATGCCGTCATTGTAGGTGTGGTGGAATGATACAGAGACAGGACCCTCTATATATGGGTCCTGGCTATTTAAGCCACTCTGAGCACTCAGACTATTTTGAGTACCTAAATATTGGCAGCTTAGAATTGTCAAGATGCTTTGTTGGTCCATCAAGTTAAGAAACCTCCCCATGCTTATTAATGGCATTGATACCATACCTACTGTAGCTGAAAGCATTAGATTTGTTGCTTTATCTCTGTCAGAATGATATAAAAGCCTTACATACTGTGATATTGTAGGATCATAAAATGGTTTGGGAAGGTACCTTAAAGATCGCCTAGTTCCAATCCCCCTGCCATGGGCAGGGACACCTCCCACTAGACCAGGTTGCCCAATGCCCCATCCAGCCTGGCCTTGAACGCTGCTGTGGGAAGGGTCTTCCACAACTTCTCTGGGCAACCTGTGCCAGGGCTTCACTGCACTTGTAGTAAAGAATTTCACAGAATCATAGAATTGTATCAGCTGGAAGAGACCTAGAAGATAAAGTCCAGCCTTTGTCTCAGCCCTATCAGCCTTCTAAACGATTCCCCCCAACACAACATCCACCCATCTCTTAAACACCTTCAGGAATGGTGATTTACCCACTCCCTGGGCAGCCTGTTCCAATGGCTGACAACCCTTTCAGTATAGAAATTCTTCCTAATATCCAACCTGAACCTCCCTTGGCACAATTTAAATCAATTTCCCCTCGTCCCATCACTATTTCTTCCAAATATCTAATCTAAATCTACGCTCTTTCAGTCTGAAACTGTTACCCCTTGTCCAATCACTACACTCCCTGATAAGAGTCGCTGCCCTTCTTTCCTGTAGCCCCTCTAAAAGTACTGGAAGGCTGCTGTAAGGTCTCCCTGCAGCCTTCTCCAGGCTGAACAGCCCCGGCTCTGTCAGCCTGTCCTCATAGGGGATATGCTCCCGCTGTCTCATCAACTTTGTATCCCTTCTCTGGACTCACTGCAACAGGTCCATGTCCTTATGTTGGAGGGAGGTCCTAGAGCTGAACACAGTACTGCAGGTGAGGTCTCATGAGAGCAGAGTAGAGGGGAGAATCAGCTTCCTCAACATGCTGGCCATGCTTCTCTTGATGCAGCCCATGATGCGATTTGGCATGTTGCTGGCTGATACTCACTTTTTCATCCATGAATACTCCCAAGTCCTTCTCTTCAAGGCTGCTCTTAATCCACTTATCACCCAGCAATCTAGCTAGTATGATTAAATTCTGTATTTGCTGCAGATCATGTATTTGATTATTATGCATCTGACTGTCTCAAATTCTACTGCTGCAAAATGCCTGACAAGTTTTGAGAGTGTAGAATTCAAAAGCTGAAAGTAGGGTTTCTGAATGAGTCAGCTGGAGCTACCTCAATGCTGTGACAGTGTTAACATTAACTATATTAGCATGACTCTTGTATAACATGGTAACCTGACCACAGAATCATAGAATATCTCAGGTTGGGAAGGATCCAGTAAGGACCACCGAGTCCAACTCTGCTTCTTGTAGGACTACCTAAAACTAAACTGTATGATTAAGCGTGTCATCCAGGTGCTCTTGAACTGACAGCCTTAGTGCTGTGACCACTTCCATGGGGAGCCTGTTCTAGTGACTATCCAAATTGTTACCCCTAAATTTTTTTTAATACACCGTATAAAGACAAGATTCATGCTGTTTGTACGCAGATGCCTGTTGTTGTGTGGCTTGGTTTTTTGTAGCTTTTTGTAATTCATTTTGTATGTTAGTAATAAATGCTTCAGTAGCCAAAGTCTGTCTCCATTTCAGTGGTGTTTGTAACTTGCTGTTCTGTGACTCATTCAAATATGATACATCAGAAAGCAAGCTTGAAATGCAAATATAGATATGCATTGAAAATGTTCCTGTGTATGTATACATAGATAAGATTGCTACAGCATTTCCTTCCTCCCTTCCAGTTCCTGTGTGTCCTTCCACTCAGTCTTAGCTTTACTGCTGCTTTTTGAGTGCTTGCTGTTGCTTGCCTTTAATGATGACCTAAGCTGTTCTAATATGGAAAAGGATGTGGACAAAAAAAATTCCTCTCCTGCCTTCTCAGTAGGTGCTCTGTGTGCATGGGACTGCTGGCTACCTGCTTCGGTTGCTGGTTCCCTAGGACAGTATGTACTCCTCAGCTGAAAATGCAAGTTTCAGCCTGTTTAACTTAACCCTCTCTTGAACTTGAGTGACTAATGTGCGTTAACACTCAGTTACTTGGGTGGTATTGTTGCTCAGAAACTCCTGGGAACCTCTTCCCTGGAAGAGAATTGCAGTCACTAAGAAAAAAGCTTTCTTGGGTTTGAGTTGTCCAGGTAAGTTGTGTCTGCTCTTGATACAGGCTCTGTGCAACTTCGAGTTAGTGTAGCGATGCTGCCCACCATTTTCAAAGAGCTCATCAAATGAAGCAAAACTGGAGTTCAAGGGAAGTTTGTCACCTACTGACATATTGCTATGTGGAACAATGCCTCCACCTGGTACAATGTGGACACTAGAGCAAGTTATGTATAGGCTAGATTTCTAGTGTGAAAGGGCTAAAACAGAGCTGGTCTAGAAGTGTTAGAAAGGCTGTGGTTTAAGCACAACATTAAACAAAATTATAAAAAAGGATTATAGAGAAGGATTCTCTAACTTCCAGCTTTAAATGCTTGCTTTCTGTAAAGGGAGCTGTTTAACACTAAGTTGACATGAGATGGCGAGATACTCTTTCCAGCTAGGGCCTGAGTTAAGACTTCTGGAATTCTTCCAGCAATTAATTCTGTGTATTTTAAATATTGAATAAGTCCACCCAGAGAATATCCTTTTTTAATCTCCATTTGTAATAAAATTTATACAGTGCATCCACTGCTCAGGAACAGGATGGAACTAATCAGGTCTGGGAGCAGCTGGCAGTTCAAAGAAGGGAGTTCAGATTCTTGTATATATTTTAAAATCTGGGTGCTGTGGCCCTTTATTCTGAGGTGATATATCAGATAAGATATTCAAACTGTTTACTGCTGAGAAATAAACAGCACCACCTAGTATTAATGCAAGAGCAATATATCTCTCTGTTCTGCCTTAAGTTGCACCACTGTTGCATACTCTTGGCTGTCCAGCTTTGCTAAGTGTCAGCGAATGAAGAAAGCAAAATGTTACCAACCTAGGTTTTCAGATTGCTTCTCCCTTACCATGCACTGATGAGTGACTTCTGTGTAAAAGTTACTTTGATTTCTGACAGCTAAGCTACAGCTGGTGGCTGCACACAGAGGAATGCCTGGTTAAATGCTTGACTAGGCTAACAGCCTGTAATATCAAAATGCTGTACACAGGTTTCTTTATCATGCTATTGTGTGTGGTTGTTTTGTTGGATCCTGACCTCTGCACTCCAAAAAAAAAAAAAAGTGTTTAAGTTTTCATCCATGTCTTCCCAATAGAATTAGGAACCCCTTCTTGGAGGAAAAGATGGCTGAATGACAGCAGATCAGTATGTTCCTGGCTTATTATATTGAATAAAATTCTGGATTGAAATTACTAGACTTTCCTAGTAAGGACAGCAATATTTAATCTGAATTGCAACAGTAACTTGCAAGGGCATCTTCTTGTTGGTGAGTTTGTACAGCATATCCCTAGGCTCTCTCTACAACATACTATACAAGTCTACAGTCAAAACTTGGTATTTTTCTCTATCACAGTTAAAGTGACTATTAAAATGGTCTGCTAAATATAAGAATTATGTGGACACTTCCCAAAGACATCTTTAGGGTTTTTTTTTTGCCACAGTGTCCTAAAGCTGAAGTGCATGCTAGTAACTGCTGAAATCTCTCAAATAGAAGGACTTTTCACGCACATACGGCCTTTACACCACACGGCAAAGAGTTGAATAAAACTTGCTGGACAAGTTGTGCACAGTGTTTTGTTAAATGTATTCAATGTTTTTCTTTGTATACAAAGATGGAAATTAATTTCTTTTGAATAATACAGTCTGTGATGACTAAAAGTAAATGCTTGTTCTGAAGGTACAAAAAATAAGAATTTGCTCAAATTGTGAGTGGTTCAGTTCTGAAAATACATTAAGCAAGAAAAAATGGATTAAGTCCATTAATGACATTATCATTTGCATATGAAGACGGCAGAACACTCAAGTATGTTTTGCACTATTCCATGCAAGTGTTTTGCAAGTTTTGCACTATTCTGCGTAAATGACCTAACTGTATTTTACTGAGAAATGGCACGAAGAAGAGTCATACCCAGCATTTGAAACAAAGATGTTGCAAGAATCGACTTACTGCTTTGTTTCAAATTCCTGTCAACTGAGAAAGTGATAAGGAAGTGAAGGTCCTTTATCTAAGCAAGCCCATAACATTTAAGGGCTTTGCATTAGTTTAAGTAGACTGGTGCAGGTCTCAGAAATGTTATTAACATAATTAACATGTTCAAAACTGAGATAAATCATACTGACATCAAACCTATTTGATGCTGACGGATAAATTCTTTCATGGCTGTTAACATCTTTAACTAGTACATCTTTAATGTACTAGTAGTACATTAAAGGAGTCATGAGCTTATAATGTGTGCATTAAGGAGATGAAGGCACAACCTTAAATTTGAGCAATTATCCTATTGTCAGTAAGAACAACATAGTTGTAAGTGTCTTAAATTTAGGATATAGTGAAAATTACCACTAGTCAGACATGGTTACTGGACATGGTCATGTGCCCTGCTCAGTGTAAATACAGAATAAAATAACGTGTTTAAGCCATTAGTTTGGAAACAATTTTAAATGACTTTGCACATGGGCTAATTAGTCTTAGTTTTGTAAGATTCATAATGCAATATGAAATACATGTGCTGATAATGGCAAAACTTGATTTCTCTTAGTGCAGTAATTAAAGTTTTAGGTAAACTGCCATAATCAAAAAGATGCAAGGTAATTCTTGCTCTTAGAAAGAGGTGTATCCTCCACTCCTATTGCATTTTGATTATTTAAGAGACAAAGATTACTGATCTCATTTTGATGAAGCTTAGGTTCTCAAAGCGGTCAACACTTTTTACTGTATTCACACTAGTGCCTGACAAGTGATGTGCTGCTTAAATTCTTCTGAAGCTCAATTTTAATTAATAAGTCTAAGCCCCTGGTGCCCTATGGCTACTTACTCTCTAAGAAACTGAGTGATTCATGTTCAGTGCTCCAGTGCTGTCTACAACCCGATAGCTGAAACAGTAATCCCTTTATCCTTTGATGTGTTCTCTTTTCTTCTGACATATCTTCGTGGCAGGCAAAGCACAGATTGGTCTTGCGTACTATCTTTAATAAAAATAAGTCACATGCAAGGTGTTTTGCAGTGAGGGAGTGGTTTAAAACTGCTTCTGCAATCAGCACTGAACTTGAGTTGCACAAATGCCTAGAAGCGTCTTACAGAACCAAAGTCCTGCCAGCTTGCAGCAATCGTTACATGCTGATACTGTGCTTGGCTCCAAGTATGCGACATCATGAACATTAAAACTAACTATGAATCAAGATATACCTGTAAGTATTTTTCATTCAGGGAAAAAAACCTTTTGGTTATGAGTAAATTGCTTAATTATATCCCATTTTTCAGAAGTGCCTAAGTAACCTAAGTCCTACTAAGTGGACTTAAGGGTTGTGACTTAAGCTCCTAAGTGTCTTAGCCAACATTTTTAGAAGTGTGTAACATCCATGTATCCAGTAATGTCTCTGGCAATTCCTGAAACCTGGTGCTGCTTAACAGTGCAGAGTACTAATACATGCAGTTGAAACAGAGAATGCAGTTCCAGATATTTGTTTATTCAGAAAAGGTTTGGTGCGTTAGGCAGGCAGAGCAGTCCAGAGCCATCTGTATCAAGCTCATCAAGGCAAGTTCCTTTATATAGCCGATTGTTCCCAAGGAGAGAAGAAAGGCAAACTAAGTTTAAAAACTTCCTTTCATAATTTTCTAGTCACCAGTTTCACTGAACACTCTCTAGTAAGTTCAGCTCTGTTCCATCTGTACTATAAAATCTATCTTCTGAGCAACTGATCTGCATCTTGCATAGCACTTGAGCTATCTTAATGTTAGATGTTTCATATGTGACTGAGCATATTTCATTCTGCATTCAGTGTTTTGAATCTGATTTCTAGAGTTATTGAGTGTCTTCGTTTCCTGACTTCAGTGAGAAGTACTGCACAGATTTACATAGTTTTTCTTGTAAATTGATTGAAATTTCATTCCTATACAGGTTCCAGATTTCACTATTACAGACCTGTCTTCAGAGTCAGATGATATCCCAGACATTCTGGATTTCGATGAAGATGATCAACAAGACTTTTCACGCACAAATGGCCCTTACACTACAGGGCAAAGAGCTGAATAAAGAGAAACATAAAAATGTGTTTTTGACACAATGTACTTTTGCCATGTTTAACTTAGTTTTTAAAGATGAACCTGCCTAGCTTAGGGAGTTTGGGGATATTTTTTTTAATCAGTACTGTTTCAATTAGTTGCATCAAAGTTCTGATTTTTTTTTCTACCTAAGGAAAGCATACTACATTAATTCATTAGCATGGGTGTCAAAGCTCCCATTCTGCAACCCAGGTATAGCCTAACCTGTGTGTCCAACTGATCTGACCTGTTAATGATTTGTTCTGCTGGCAACAGCCATGAGAACACTCCAGTGCTTTGCATAAAGGGCTGCCAACAAAAGGAGTTGATGGGGATTTGCCCACGAAATTTCCCCTTTCAGTCTACATGAAAAGCACTTCTGCATCTACCTCTTTGCTGCTGGAAGGGGTAAGAGACTTTGTCACAGATTCCCTCAGGTTCTTTTCATTAGGCTCTGTAGCTACAGAGCTTTGAAATTCAGAGCTTCCCTTTGGCGAGTGCTTTACGCACAAAACAACTCCCTTTCTCTCTACATGCCTTCTGTGTGCAAAATTCTGGACATCCTGATGCCATCAGTTGTGGGGCCTGAAGCTAGAAGATGGTAAATGCTCAAAAATTAAAAGTTTTCCAGGAATAAGGATATCAGTTAAAAAAAAAAGGAGAAGAGATTGTAAAAAGTAAGGAAAAATGGAGTGCAAAGAGATGCAAACAGATGTGGGAAAAAAGAAAATTGTGAAAAAAAGGATAATTGAATGCAGGGCTACTTCTCGTGACAGTGATGATCCTTTTATGTTTAAATAAAATCTTAAATATTTGCTGAGGAACTTGATAGCACACAGTGACTTCTGTAGGAGTTGAGGTGAATGGGATCTGGACTGGAGGGAGCTAGTTACATTTCTTTCCGAGGATCAGACTGAACTCCTCCCACAGAGATCTTCCCTATGTCACCAGGGTGACTGCAGCAAATTTGGAGATGTTGCACGGTGCTACTTTCATACAGCTGTGGAAATATTACTCGGCAGCTGATATAGCTGTGAGGTTGGCACCTCTGCTCTCTTGTCATGTAACACCTGGTTGTTGTGAAAACTTTGAGGTCTAGTCACTGAAATGCCTTGGAATAAAAGTTTGACCTGCACAGCCTGCTGCCACTGTGAGTTTTACTTGGTTTTCCTGTTAAATTTTGTAACCCAATTGGAAAATAATTTAAATTGGAAGGGTCCTCTGGAGGTCATCTACTCTAACCACGGCCCAAAGGTCTTGATTTGAGCTAAAATAGAACCAATTCTGTTCAGTGATTTTGCTTTTCAGCTAAGCCTCTAAGAGGCTGCACTTTCTGAAGTAAACTGTGTGTTTTTGGAGACAGTGCCTGCTACTAGAAGTGACAATGCTGGATGTTTAGTTACTACCAGGGATTGGGATGCAGAAAGGCTCTTGCTGATACTTGCTCCTGTAGTGACCAAGGTCACAGCTGGCTCTTGTGTGACATGCTGGGGGTGCTGGGAAGTAAAAGGGGTTAAACGAAATAAAAAGACTGCACCTGTGTGGAGGAGCAGACAGGACGAACAAGAGTATTCCATTACATATATGTTATACTCAGTATAAAACTGAGGAATCAGAAGGGTTAAGCCCTTCTTGAATGGCTGGCATCTGAGGAGGACTCCATCTGTTCTTTTGCTTTTGAGTCCAATGCTGAGTTCCCGAATCCAGCTCCTGTATCCAGCCCCCTCTGCTGCTGAGCCTGGCTGGGGCTTCCCCAGTTCTGCCTGCTCTGCAGCATGAGTGGGGATTGCTTTCAGCAGGGCAGAAGAATTGGGTTCAATATTGGTTTTCTATACATATGTATATATTTCACTTTTCATATATTTGTATGTATTTCGTTATTTTCATTATTGCCTTATTAATACTATTCCTGTTTTATTCAAGCTGTTTTTAGTTTTCTTTTCCAATCTGTAAGTCTCTCTGCCTTACTCTCTTTCGCTTCCCATTTGGGAAGGGAGAGGCGTTAAGAGAGCACATGTCACTTATTTCATGGCTGGCCCAGCCTTACCCCTGTGACAAATAAATGGTGTAGGGCAAGACTAGGCTCTGATAAACTACCTGTCACTGGGGTTTGAATTTAAGCTTACTCCATTAATAGAGAATATCAGATTCTTCCTTTCCAGAGTCCTGGCGAGTTGGAAATTAAAACAGACAGCTCACATCATGTCATCGCTGAATGCAACATCTTATCATGCCCTTTTAGAGCCTGGTTCAGAGTTAAGTGCTATAATGCTGCCTCACCTGCTGAGTCTGTTGTGATGTTATTGGTTGTTGGGTTTTTTTCTGCAGTTTATCCATTCTGGATGCTTGGCGGAAGCAGCCCCAGTGCTGTGGTGTTCACTGCTGGTCTGTGCAGTGATAACCAGGGTAACAAGTTTACCCGGGTACCTCGGGCGCTGGCTGGTGGATTAGGTTACTAACTACATTTAAAATTTTCACCTTGGGAAATTACACTTCCTCGTGTGCCAAGTTCACTCCTCTGGATTCTGACTGTTTCCGGTACGGTTATTACAACCTATTGGTTTACCATTCTTAGTGAATTTAAGTTCGGTTCTGTTGATTATTTGGTTTTTTTTGGTGCGGTGTCGGATCAAGCCGGGCCGCAGCTCCATCGCTCATGTCACTCCCGCAAGGAACACGCAGCCACAC